TGAGTACATTTTAAAACTCTGTACTAGTGAGACGACTGGAATAGTAAGAAGAGAAGATGTAGAGAGAGGGTAATATTTTTGTCGTTGTTGTAGTTTCACTTTTTTTATTTAAATTCAATTAATTAACATGTAATGTATTATTGGCATCAGAGGTACAGGTCTGTGATTCATCAGTCTTATATAACATCCAGTGCTCATTACATCACATGCCCTACTTAATGTCCATCACCCAGTTACCTCATCCCCCCACCTACCTCCCCTCCTGAAACCCTCAGTTTGTCTCCTTTGATTAAGAGTGTTTTATGGTTTGTCTCCCTGAGAGGGGGTAATATTTTTAATAATTACCAAAATGAAAAATTTGAAAAGAGGCAGAACTATCTAGAAGGAATTAAGAAGCTTTTTGTATATATCATTTAAAACCCTGCCACTGACCCTTTAAGATAACTTACAGTAAAGTACAGTATTTCCTTCAAAGGTTCTGAAGATTTGGGGTTTTATTGGTTGAGACATGGTATGGTTTTTGTTTTGTTTTTTGGTTGGTTTTGGGGGGGGTTCTCGTTTTTGTTGTTGGAGGTTTTTTTGGTATGAACAGCCAGAAGCAGAACCCAAAGCAGCCCAATTACTACATTCAGTTTGTCCATGTAAGTGGCAAAAAGATGAATACCCTTAATAAAGACATTCTATTAGCCACTACAAAAAGGCAAATACTATTTTAAAAACAGGCAAAGGATTTGAATAGATAATACAATTAAAACAAAACATGATGAAGATGAAAAAATTGACCCCAATGGTGCTCAGAAACATGTAAAATTAAGAAAAAATGTTTTTTTCAAGAGTGCATCCCCTTTTCCTCTCAAAAAAATTGCCCACAAATTAGGAGGACAAGAAAAACAAACTTCATATTTAGGGAAACTAGGCAACATACATAAATCCAGTGCATAATGTATGAAATCAGAAAGGGTCAAAGCAAAGCCAGGAGATACAGAGACATTCTATTCATGAGATAGTCAAAAGAACCTATGAATTTTTTAGGTATAAGCAATGGTGTACTGATAAATTTTGAACTAGTTCTCTAAGACAAACTGTATGTATGTGTGTGATGTATGTATCCATACATGTAATAAATTTTATTGATATAAAATTGCATAGCATAAAAATAAGTAAGAATAAGCCAAACAATACTCTTTATTGAAAAGTCCTCAGAGCCAATTGTTTATTTTTGCCAATTTCTTTTACCTGTAGCCAACCTATGGTTACAATTAAGGAATGAGTATAGTTCGAACCTGAATGTTGATTGCTATTTTCATTTATGTTAACAAGATGAATGTAAAACAACAAAGATATATGTCAGAACTTCACTCATTTGCCAATGCGGTGAGTGACTATTTTGCTGAGTTGTATAATGCTTTCAAATACTGGAAAATATTTCCTGAATGTTTTATGCCATTCACCATGTAATAGTTACAGAAACAACACACTTTTAAATTTAATCTGTATCATTAAGCACTTTCTCCATCACTCTCTTAAATCTAACAATCAACAAAAAAATAAAACTGAAATTTGTAGTTCTTGTCTATTTCCAGGATCTAAATAATCCCATTATGCCTAAATTCAATCTACATAGTGAGGTCACTGAATGCAGAGTAGGGAAGAGATGCCAACAGTATACCATCACATAGTCTTTCCTCCATTTATAGCACTTCTCACAATTTTATATGTATTTTACTTATATGTTTTTAGTTTTTATCTATCTCCCCAAATCCATAAGAGCAGAAATTTGTATCTCTTTTTTCTCTTTTGTATCCTAGTGCCTAGAACAGAACTTGACACATATAGTAAGCATTCAATAAGTATTTGTTGAATAAAAAATAAAATGTTCAACTTACTATATGCCAGGTACTGTCCTAAATGTTTTATGTGTGTTAAGTCTAAAGTCCTCACTGCAATCCCATGAGGTGGCACTATTATGATTTTCATTTTCCAGGTGAAGCCAGAAGTGACTTATCCAAGTCACCCAGCAGGTAAGTGGTGGAGCCAGGATTTAAATTCAGGCACTTTGGCTCCAGATCTTGGACTCTTTACCACAATGCATTCTCTCAATATATCAGAGCCCTGATGCCGGCAAAAAGAAATCTCAGAATGTCAGATGTGTGGCAGACCTTAAAAGCAACCAGGTCACATTAGAGCAAGTGGACAAGTGTGGTATACTGGAACCGATTTATTATCTGACAGGTTTGGTTTTGTAGAAAATGCTTAAAGACATTTTACAGCACTGTTGGAAATTGTGGGAAGTAAGAGTTCCAAAGAAAAATCTTCTCAAATGACAAAATAAGACAGTTATTAACTCCAGGAAAACAGTAAGTTGAATGAGAAAGGAAATGTAATCATAGTACACTGCTTGATTCAACAAAAAATAGTATTCACCAAGTCATGATAATGAAAACAATGAACATGGATTTAATTCAAAAAAAAAAGTTATGCTTTTGCTACATTGGAAAAGGAAGGGGAAGAGGGCATAAATCTACATCTACCAAATAGAAAATCAGTAATTTTTTCAAGCAGTAGCTATATGTATATGTGTGTGTGTGTATGTGTGTGTGTGTGTGTATATATATATATATATATATATATAAAGGTAAATGCAAAAGAAACATCTAAAACATTGGAAGTTTTTGGTATTTGGTATTGATATTTTGATGAAAATGAAATTAAAACAAAAGGTAGATTTTTTTCCATAATATTGTGAAAAATTCAAAGCATAATAATGCCGATGTTGGCAAAAATATGTGAAAATCACTCTCATATACTAGCTGATGGAGCTGTCAGTTGATGTTTCTCTGGAAGACAATTTGATATTTTGTGTCAAAAGTCTTAAAAAATGTTTGACCCAGCATTTCCACTTAATGGAATTCATTCTAAGAAAAAACTTTAAATATGTGCAAAGACTAAGACATTTCTTATTACAGCTAAAAGGAAAGGAATTAATACAAATATCCAATACTAGAGCCTTAGTGGGTTTTTTTTTAAATCATGGTAGAGCTGCCTAAGGAAAAATTGTCCCATTACTAAAAATTATAATTAGATTAACCCAGAATGATATTTATGATATTGAAACAAAAATGCTGGTAACAATATAGCAAATGGTTCCATTTAATCCCCTGCTGTAAAAGTATATGTTTGCACTAAAATGTTTCAAAATACATGTAATTCAGTAGCTATTGCTGGATGATGGGGTTATGGGTGATTCATATTTATTTAGTTCTGCTTGTCTTTATATTTTAATCTCTACTATATATATGATTTATTTGTGAGGTTGTTTAATACATTTCAATGTTTAGAAATCATACCTGAAACAAAATCTTCTCATTAAAGATTCAAGGAAGTCATTGAAAACAAGAAAAATGTGTTACCTATGAGAGCAGACACAAAAACTACACCTCTTTGCTCTAAAGTACTGAGTCCAGTGAAACATCATCTACATTTTTAAAATCATAATGAATGTGGTCTTAAAGTTGATGTAGACTTCTTCACAAAATCCGGAATATTAAAACTGTGGTTTACAAAAGCTTAGAAAAAGTAAGAGAAATTCTTTTTATTTTTTTTATTTTTTATTATGCAATTTTTCACCTGTATACTCTACACCTAGATTTAACAATTGTTAAGGTTTTTCTTAACAAGGTAAGAGAAATTCCTTTTAATAGTGGGAATTAAACAACTTATCTATCTCAGAAAAAGGAATGTTTATCCACATCACTAATCATCATGGAAGTGCAAATCAAAATCACAATGAGATATCACCTCACACATGTTATCAAAAAGACAAGAGATAGCAAATGCCAGGAAGTGGAGAAAACGGAACACTTGTATACACTGTTGGGAATGTAAACTGGCACAGCCACTGTGGAAAACAGTATAGACTTTTCTCAATAAATTAAAAGTAGAACTACCATAGGTAATCCAGCAAACCCACTTCTGTGTATATATCAAAAAGCAACAAAGTAATTATTCAAAGAGATACCTCTACTCCCATATTTATGGCAGTATTAATCATAACAACCAAGGAATGGGTACAACCTACGACCTACGTGTCCATCAACAGATGGATAAAGAGAATGTAGTAGATATATAAAATGGAATATTATTCACCCTTAAGAAAAAAGAAAATCATGTAATCTTTGACAATATGGATGAATCTGGTGGGCATTATGCTAGTGAAATAAGCCAGAAAGCCAGACAAAGACAAAAAACGCATGGTTCAATGATATGTGTAATCTAAAAAACAAAACAAAAAAGTCCAACTCATAGAAACAGTAGAAAGATGGTTGTCAGGGGCTAAGGTGAAGAAAATAGGAAGAAGCTGATCAAAGGGTACAAACTTTCAGTTATAAGATGTAAGGTCTGAGGATCTAAAGTAAAACATGGTGACTATAGTTAACAATGCGTTGTATAACTGAAATTTGTTGAGAGACTAAAACTTAAGTGTCCTCATCCTCTGCCCGTGAGATGGATGTGTTGATTAGGGTGGCTCAGTCGTTAAGCGTCTGCCTTCGGCTCAGGTCATGGTCCCAGGGTCCTGGGATCGAGTCCTGCATCGGGCTCCCTGCTCGGCTGGAGGACTGCTTCTCCCTCTCCCACACACTCTGCTTGTGTTCCTGCTCTCACTGTCTCTCTCTGTCAAATAAATAAATAAAATCTTTGATTAACTCAATGGAGGGAAAACCTTTCAAAATATATATATATAGAAAAATCATCATGTTATATAATTTAACTATTTTATAATTCTGTCAATTATACCTCAATAAATCTGAAAAAATAGAACATTTAAAATGCCATGTTCTATGATACTTAGAATATTAGACTCTTTAAAGCATTAATTTAACTTAGGATGCATTTCTTACATTTTTATATTTAAGATCTTCATTTCTGCATATTTGGAATAGCCAGCTCTTGTGTTTTGAAGATTTATCTTAATTCATGGTATTTTTTGTTCTGCTTCTTAGGTACCAGCAAAGGCCAAATGTCTTACTCAACTACTTCCCTGCCACCACCTCCACCACCCCATCCAGCCAACCAACTGCCATTGCCAGCATGTCACCCAACACAACCGCCAGTCCCAAGTCTACCTCCCAGAAACATTAAACCTCCCTTAGATCTAAAGTAAGCAAAGATTATCTTGCCATTTCTTTGTCAATCTCTTGCCATAGATTTTCAAACTCTGCTTGGCTGAATGCTGGAGTTCCATGGGAAACTGCTGGGGCCACAAATGTGGGCAGATGGAAGGAAAAGGGATGGCTGAGCAGGCTGCTCTCATACCCGCATATCCTTCAGCAAGTATTGTTTATCTGTTTTTACAGTGGCTTTTCCCTTAGGAGTTCATTTGAAAAAAATTTCCACTGCCTTTTAAATATTTTGAAGCATTCTTCAGGTTATCATTACAATCATCTCTTCCACCATCACTACCATTATCATAATTGTTAACACCACCACCATCAACACTGCCATCACCACCATCCCCATAGTAATCATCACCACCATCACCATTATCATAATCATCACCACCACCATCATCACCACCACCACCATCATCACCACCACCATCATCACCACCACCACCATCATCACCACCACCATCATCACCACTACCACCATCATCACCACCACCACCATCACCACCACCACCATCATCACCACCACCACCATCATCACCACCACCACCATCACCACCACCATATTTTACTGACTACTTATGACACGCTAGGAACTTTACATATATAAGTAGAAAGTGTTTTCACCATTTCAGAGATGAAGAAATGGGAATTTACGGAGGCTAAGTAACTTCTCCAAGATTACACAAGAATGTAGAGTAGAAATTTGGGGCAATGTCAGTCTGAGTCCAAAGTGAATGTGTGCTTTTAACCACTCTGCTAAATAACCTCCTTAAGTAAAAAATACAGGTTTTCTCTCAATCTTCAGATTTTTGGCTGTGTGTTAAAAAACCAGGAAACTTTTATTCAAGTCCACTCTTGCTTTTCTTAGATGGTGCTTTTTAGAAGTGTCAAAACTGAATGGGTGCTATGGATGGGATCTTTACCCATGATTTACCAGAATAGCTGGTTAAGGATAAAGCAGGCACAAGATTGGGATAGAATGAATGTCATTTTAAAAAGACATTGGATAATGACAAGTATAGATTCTTACGGCAAGTTAGACTATGTCTTCCCTTTCTTCTTCTAGAAAATTGCTTTACATGATTCTCCTTTACCACAAATAAGCAATATCCCAAAATATTTAGCTATATTTTTTTCCCTCCATTTCAATCCCCTACCAGACTGGTGTTCTTTACATTAAAAGTACTTCATATCCATTATCTGTATGGTAGAATCTATTAATATCAGTATCTGATTGACAGCTTTCTTTTATTGATGATGATTGCAGTTTAGAGCAGGGGTTGAGAACACATCTGTCATAGGGAGCCAACACTGTGTTTCACTTCATTGCGTTTGTTTGAGGTATAAAGGCAGTAACTAGAAAGCGTTAGCGCAGCTTAGGGGCTATTATCTTGTTTGTGGCCTGCATTGTCCATTTATGTTAACTGTGTGCCCTTCCAGGCATTTGATTTTATGAATTCTAATTAAAAGACTCTAATACCCCATGATATCTTGCTACCAAATAAGAGCTTAAGCCATCTGCCTACTAACATGTAAGGGCTAAATAAATATTTGTTTACTTAAAATAATTAACATGTGTTCTTATATATACCTGACTTCTATAAGTTATTTTGCTTTCCCGTGTATTAAACTCTGTTTCTTTTTCTTAATCTTTTTTCCTAGTCTGACAAATTTAACTGACTAGATCATGATCTTAGTACTTTTGGATTTTACTATGTGACCCTATCCCAGCTACTGCCTTCAGTCTTGTATAATTCTAGTGAGAAATTTTAATAAATACCCTGAGCACGAATCCCTGAAAATTTATAAGACATGAAGACTGATAATTGTTTGATTGAAAACTGTGGGGAGAGGGGTATTTGGCACTATTCCTGCTTATGAGGAGTCCCCAAGACCACCATATGTTTGAGGATTCATTTAAAGGACTCACAGGATCCAGCATGTAGTAGTACTCACGGCTAAGATTTATCACAGTGACACTGTCCTTCAATGCCTAGGAGGGACACACCGAGAATGCTCCTTTCTCCAGCTTTGGAAATGTGTAATGCTGCTTCCCAGGGAAGACCAGTAGAGACAAGTTTTTACTGAGAGTTTGTCACATAGGCATCTTCAGCCTAGCCACTACCAAAATACCAGACCTCTAGAAGGAAAGGAGGTTTTCACCACAACTTGCATGGTTTATACAGTCTAGGCACAGCAAGGCACTCTTATCAATTAGGCAACTCTTCATATCAGTGTAGGGAATTTTTTAGAAGTGGAGTTCCCAGATGCAAGCCAAGGACCAATCTTGGTGTCAGATTCTTCTAAAATTAGCACCTTAGGCCTACTATATTAACCCTTTTCTGCAAGGCTACTCCCCAGAATCCATTATGATATGGTGGGAAATAAAAAGTTTTAGATGGAAGAAAGGATTTTAAGAACAGTCGTATAGCCTGTACTACAAATTCATAAGGATGCTGGTCAATAGTTCAGCTTTTCAGTGAATTCTTGCAAAGTCGAAAAAGGCCTTCCAACCAACTAGGCCCACATTCTTACCTGTAACATCATTTTCATCAGAAAGTAGCAAAATCCACCAATTGTAATAAACTTTACCTCATCCCTATTTCTGTCTTATTAGGGACTCCTAATTAGAAAGTCAGATTCATCTAAGAATTCCTGACTCCACAAAATTCATACTCTCAGAAGAAAGATGAAGAGAAACAGGAGTCTTTTGGGATGTTATATTGCCTAGACAAACAATAATTGGGGAATCTGAAAGTCAGTTGTCTGATGGAGAGAATAGAGGGAATGAAAGCTAAGGGAAATCTACAATTTTTTTTAAGTAAAAATGTGGTGTATAGTGAAAGACTTTCAGGTTCCCATCAGAGAGCTCAAGTAAATTCCAAAATCACGAAATAGCTGGATTAGAAACTTTCCCCCAAGTAGGAGAAGCCAGATAAGACACAAAGAAGAAATGAGAGCAAAATGACTCTTGATATTCAGGCTCAAAAATTTATATTTTATGTGAGAGGGAAATTTATGGGATAATCTTTAAGCAAAATTGTGAGATACAGGCATTCCTATGCTTTCCCTCATGCCGCCACCCATCAAAACACACGCACGGGTGTTTTCCGCATGCTCCCTCTGCCAGCCTGCAAATGCCATTCCTCCCCTCTCAGGGGCCACTCTCAGGTCAAGCTCTAATAGATTTTTTTTACATTCACTCAAGAATTGGGTTTTTTTTTTTTTTTTTTGCCACTACTTTGTGCTGTTGTAATAGTAGTTCAGGAAATATCAGTGAACAAAATAAAAATCCCTGCCCACATAAAACAGGGGGCAAGAGACCCAAAGAATAAAAATAATAAACAGGTAAAGGAGATAGTATGGTAGGAAATACCAAGTAGGAGAAAAGAGAGCAGAGTTAGGTGGTGTAGTGGGAGGGTGGGGTTGGAGATAGCGTGTCACAACTTTAAGAAAGGGGAGGGTAGGGGTGCCTGGGTGGCGGCTGCCTTCGGCTCAGGTCATGATCCCCAGGGTCCTGGGATCGAGCCCCACATTGGGCTCTCTGCTCCACGGGACGCCTGCTTCTCCCTCTCCCACTTCCTATGCTTGTGTTCCCTCTCTCGCTGTCTCTCTCTGTCAAATAAATAAATAAAATCTTTAAAAAAAAAAAGGGGGGAGGAGGGTAGCTGCCTTTATAGGCAGTTATATACTTGAGCAAAGACTCACAGAAGTGAGGGAGTTAAGCTTGCAGATGTCTTAAGCAAGACCATTCCGGGCAGAGAAAGCAGACAGAACAAATGCCTAGAATGTTCAAGGACTAGGAGGAGGGAAACTGGTGCTGGAGTAGAGTGAGCAAGGGAAGGAATAGCAGGAAAAGATTCAGCTCACATAGGGCCTTGCCAGTCATAGTCAAGATCGTGTCTCCTCGTGAAATGGTAACCACTGAAAAAGGTTGAGCACAGCAGTGATGTTTTGACTTATGTTTTATCAAGATCACCTGAACAGCTATATGAAAAGAGACAGTAGACAAATATTGAAACAGGGAAACTAGTCAGGTAGATATTGCAGAAATGCAGGCGTGGTATAGAGGTGGTTCTAATCAAATGGTGGCAGTGGAGGTAGAGAGAGGTGTCCAGATTCTGAATATACTTTGAAGGTAGAGGCAACAGAATTTGGATTTGGGGTGTGAAGGGAAACAGGGATCAAAGATGTCTCCAGGGCTTTTGGCTTGAGCAACTATAATATAAGGATGATGTTTCCTTCAACTGAAATGGGAGAGGGTGAAGGTGAGCAAATTTGAGGGTGGGGAAATCAGGAAGGCATGGCTATGTTAAGCTTGAGGTGTCTTTTAAACATCTAAGTGGAGTTATTGGGGCGGCAATTGGGTATCAGGAGCGAAGAGTTTGGGAGAGAGTTCTGGTTTTAAAATATAAATTTGAGAGTCATAGGCATATATTCTCCACTTAAAATCATGAGACTGTTACAATCACCAAGGAAGTGAGTGTAACTAGAGAGAAGAATCAAGCCCTGGGGCACTCCAACTCTACTAGGCCTGGGAGAAGAAAAATGAACAAGGGAGAGTAAAAAGGAAAAAACAATAAAATCGGAAGAAAACAAGAGCGTGGTGTCCTGGAAGCCAAGTAAAGATAAGTATTCCCTAAGACCAAATAAGGGAGGACTGTGGAAGTCATGAGGGAGAGATATCCTGGACTTCGGATGCAAGCCTGACTAAAATAACATTAGAGGAACAAGAAAGAAGAACTGGAAAGACCAATTATAGACAACACTTTCAAGGAGAAATGGGGCAGTAACTGATGGGAAAAGTGGAATAGAGTTGTTTTGTTTTTTTTTAAGATGGAAGAAATAACAGTATGTCTGTATGCCGGTGAGAGAGATCCAATGAAGAAGGGAAAATTATAATGGTGGCGAGGGCAGAATTCCTGAAACAAGGGCTAGAGCAAGTGGGAAGTAGTGTTCAGGTGAGGGACTGGCTTCCCAAAGGAATAA